CTTATTGTCTTTCCTTCAATACCTTATAGCAGATTGGATGCAGGAATTACATACCTGTAACGTACTTCAGGTACTTTACTGCTGTAAAATTTATCGGCAGAAGATTACGCCCACAACATTGTTTCGCCTTTATCTTTAAATTGACTTATTGATAGCTTAGTGCTGCGTTTCGAGGGACATTTAGCGAGAGGCAATCGCCTACAATTGCAGACGATAATAATGGCGGTAAACGGATGCCAAACGATAAGCTGCCAAACGATAAGCCACTGTTTAAGTAGCAGTTAAATACAGGTAATTAGCTATGATAATGACTAACACATGCGCAACACGGCACGTTTTATTTGGTAAATCATGCAAACGTGTGTCTAATTATTCGCTCGTAATAATGTTCGACATTGAACTTTATCGCTCGCGGAATAAGTAATGACTCAGTGTCATGTAACAGAACCTTAAGACTTGTCACGGGCTATCAAAATTTTTCCAAATGTTTGTTTAAAATTATATTATTTGCTGTGATAACACGCGGCATCGTATATATCATTTTATTACTTATTTAATCAATTATTATATCTTCGAGATCTTACTTAATTAGACCTTAATTATATTTTAATAAATGTAAGAACTAAAAACAGTAATAAAAACTTAATGATGCAGCATTCAATCTCGTAGAAGTTTGTCGAAAATTGGGTGGAAATTAATTATGCAAAAGCGAGATCACAATGCTTCATGAAAGAAGCTCGAATTTGCTATTATTATCTCCAGTACTATTATCATCTCGAAATAGAAATATCTATACTTAAAATGATTTTATCAAAAAGAAAATTAGATAAAAATTTCTAAAAATAACTAAAGTTAACAAAAAGATTAACAAAAATTATTCAAATTTAATAATATTTTAAAATTTTGATTATGTTCAAAAATGATACATTATCCAGATGAGCCGAAATATACCTATGATTGACCCTATTTCGATCCTATTTTATGCTAGATTGAAGAGTAATAGCATTGTATCTAGAAGTCTTTTCTGTGGGTGTACGTTTCACGGTGATAAATCTATAGATAGATTGAGCTGGATACCGCCCAAAAAGTCTTCTTACGTAAAAGCTCGGTAGGTTCGCGCGACATTTCATAAGACATCTTTGTTCGACAATTTCTCGCAGTTTTTCCTGGTGGGATCGACGTCACACCCATTCTTTTCATTCCTTTTTTTATGTGAAAAGCGCTCCACAAATTAAATCGTAGGATTTATTTATCTCTTTATTCATCTCATTTTAGAGAACTCAAAATGTAGGATTGACTTTAATAAAATATCTTTTTTATGAAATGTACATATAGGGTGTACGACAAGTCACCGATCAACCAAAAGGTGAAAGTGGATTGAGTCAAATTGAAAAGAAAAATGCGATCTACTTATTTTGACAAATTTGCAATATAGTTATTGAGTAATTAATTAAAACGTCTGAGCGAATGAGCGAATAAGCATATAAAATGGCTTGATTGTTAGATCTCTTAGCAATGGTGAGCATCATCTGAGCGAGAGATGTATCATAGTTTCTTGACGTGCTGCGGTCGTGTCATATGCGTCGCTCACCGCTTGCCATTTCTCCAACCTACCGCTTTTGATACGCTCATTCACTCAAACGTTTTAATTAATTATTTAACTATTGCGAATTTTGCAAAATGGCAACATGACTTTTCTTTTCAGTTTAATCCAATCTATTATTTTTACTCTTCGGTTGGTCAGTGTCTTTTCGAATACTGTTATATACGTAATAAATTGAATTTTAAATTACATAAAATTAAGTTTATAGCATTTATATAATAGCATATATAAAATACATTGTATGTTTCTCGATAAAGTACAGCTGTACATTGTATCAATAGTAAAATCGTCTGAATAGTTATCTGAATAGAAAAGTTCAACAAAGCAAGTTTCGTAAATTTGCAAATGCAAAAGTTCCACAGATCTTAGAAATTGCAGACTTGCATTCAGCATAGCCAAAGTAAAAAATTCTCGATATGGTTCAGTTCACAAATGTAGACGGGGTAAATGTACAATGTACATATATACATATATAAAAGCACACATATTAAAAAATTCTTGTTTGAATAAATCATTATCTTAATTTTATATGAAATACATCGGCATTTTCCTCATTTTCCCGAGTTGTTTTGCTGCAAATATATAACAGTAATATAAAATTCTTACGATGACTATATATATATACATATAAGAAGAAGTTGAGGCTGTCATGTCTGATGATAATAAATTTCTCTCCGCGTGTTTGGCGGGTCACGGACGTTTTTCACTGTCGACGCGTATGACCGCATTCAAAGTTCTCCATAGCGTCCAGAGAGGAGTGCAATTCTCCGTCTCGCACTGTCGATGCGAGTGCGCCGACGAATTATTTCTCCGGGATAAGGTCGGGTTTTCTGCTTGGGGCTCGATGCCATTAGTAATGGTTTTAATTTGTGCGGCTGAAACTTCACCCTCCGACGCCGGCCTCCACGATCGGCGCGAAATCGATGACGAACGAGTTAGAAACGACCGCCAACGCTCGGAAATGGATTCTCCGGGGAAAATGGTATGTACCAGATCGGATCGTTCTCACAGAAGTTGCTGGAAATCGAAGAGACTTTTGTGTTGTCACCGTGCGGTATGATTGTAGGTTCTTTTGAGCGCAATTAATTATTTGACCCACATACTGTGTGTATTTTATTTCTAGATACTGGCTAACGAGTATCATTAAAGCTATATTAAAACAATTCTTCGCAAATTTAAGAGAAAATGCTTTCCAGTCGAATCCTAAAGCAATTCATGAGGGTTAAAAGCAATTAACTACTGCTAAAGAAAAGCTAGCTTTGTTCTTAGTTGAATTCACTTAAACAATAAAAAACAATTCAAAAATGAATTACTTATAGGATATTACAATAAGATTTCAAGAAAGTGACAGAGGCAATGGAAACACAATAATTCTTGTTTTTTTTTTTAATTATAATTGCCAGTAAATATATATTATACTTATGTGTGTGTAATCGCCAACGTGTAAACGCTGAATCTATATTATGCGATCGGAAAAATCTATATTCTCTTTCAATACCTGCATATTTCAATAACATCGACTTATTTAAGAAGAACAATGGCTTATTCCTAGAGAAGCGTACTTCTTTCTCTAAAAGATACGTTGTATATAGCGTCTCGCTCCATGAAAGAATGTATTTTACTAAAAATATACTTGGCGCGAGACATTATCGCTTTTTTGATAAAACGAATATGTGTCGTGTAAAAAAAACGAAAAAAAAATTTAAAAAACACAATATTAGCAACATTGAGTATACTGCCATCCTCCGGATGCGTAAGCAACTATTGCGCCATGTTCCACTGCAACTCCAGCCAAACCACTTGGAAACTCGATTTCAATCCATCATGGGGTTCGTGTCTCGGCTAACTCATGCTTTAGTGCAATTATTTTTTTTTATCTGTTGCTGTTTAAACAACAGCTGTTTCATTTGCATATTTGATCATGTTTTTTGATCGTGTTTAAATTAGTGCTACAATCTCGCAACATGTGCTTTGCGACAGGTCCCTACTTAACAATCTCGTGCAGATAGCGTAAATATTACAACAATATGCTTCAGTTTGTAGAACCTAATTAAACAAACAGAACAAAACGGAATCAAGAAGCAATTTAGCATCTTACTCGATATTTTTTTTTAAGTATCTTTATTGCAAAAATAAGCTTTCATACTTTTATTTTGTTTCGATGAGTTGCTTAATACTTTAAGTAGAATAAGATAGCAAAAATTATGATAAATTAAAGTAACTATATTCTTGTATTTCTATTGCATTTGTTATTACGTTTTAGTTTGAGCAGTTTCAACTTTTGCTTAATCTTTCTTTAGTAAAGGTACCTTATCTTTCGTTAAACGTTGTGCGTTACATTCATAAAAGTTGTTATCGCTAATGTTTCAACTTTCCAAAATCACCATTTATATATGAAAGAAATAGAGTGCACGTCTGGGAACATGAAATTTATAATGAAAAGAAGTTTATAAAGCGGCACGGAGCAACGATCCCCGTTCGTCGCCAGCAAAATTGCCATAAAAGTCTTTTAAGTTTACGGCGCGTGTAGCCGTGCATGAGAAGCATGAAAGAGCTACTAAAACAGGTAGTAGCTGGTAGAACTTAATATGGCGACCTCCAACCCCTTTACTCCTTCCTACGATGCAACTTCGTTTCGTAACTTTTTTTTCTAAGCGATGGGAGTAATGCGTCAAAATAAGATATTTTATCTACATTTTACTGCAATACAAAAATCACTTTAGTCAATAAAATTTTTACGTTACATGAAGAAACATATAAATCAATGCATAAAGATCGTTACATCGATTACTCGAGTCTTTTGAATTAAAATTGATTAATATTGCACATTATCGCGCAGAGTTTTTTTCGATAATAAATTCTTCGAAAATAACGAAGTTTTAATGCTAAGAAATAATCGCATCACCAAAGAAAAGAAAGAACAATTTAGCTATTACTGTATTTAATGCTATTATAATACTTTTTATTCAGAAATAATGTGAGAGAATATCAGATATTAATGCTGTTAAAATGCTGCTGCTTATTTATACGGCAACAATTACAATGTGTTTCATTAAAAGAAGTGAAATAAAATAAAAAAAAGTGAATAAGATTTAAATATTGTGATAAATGTATCTAAATATATACATATATAAATATAGATGGCAAAACGGCATTGCATTTGAAGCGCCTCGCTCTGAAACGAAGCGACGGAGCATTTAAAACTCCTTGCTCCGAAAGGAGACGGCAAAGCGCGCGCTAATCGTTCCCGCATGGTCTTTTCGAACGAGCACGTGGACCGGCGCAAGCGTGATTGGCCGGCGAGCACGTGGCCGCTCGGCGAGAATCGGAGCTCGGGCGTGTTCGGCTGGCGTCGCGAGTCGACGACCGAACGACAAGTGCGGCAGTCGCGCGCCGGCCTCTGTCACGATAGGATGTGTATGTTTACGTTACCGCGATGATAACGGCCCGCATATCACGTATGAAGGTTATGCACGTCGCGAGGACAACACACATTCTTACGCGCTGGTATTCTTAAAAGGCCAACGCTCTCCGCATGTCTCCGCGCCCCCCTTCCGAGACATCGTCGCAACGATACTCCGAGGGTTCCATGAAGTTTCGCCGCACCGCCTGACGTATGCGACAGCTGCGATGAAAAACGCGGTAAGTGAATGCCATTCCAATTATTTGGCCGCTTGAATATGAATAGAAAACTTTTTAAAAGAAACAGTAAAGACAAAAAACGCGTATTATAATTCAATGTATATTTCTTATATGATCAGAACAAATTCAATTATCGAGGTTCATGCTTTACTTGAAGCTTACTATAGTATGTATCCGATATGAATATTCTGAATTAACTTAATTTGACTGTAATCTCTAAAAGTTGAAAATTAACGAAATTAAATATTAAATGGATACACAAGCAAATTTATATTTTTATCGTAAATTGGATAGAATCTTGTTTAATTCTTTGCCATTTTAATTAAAATACTACATACTTTGATATTAAAATTCTGACATTTTTGTTATTTCGTATTTTTTATTAAGATTAATTTTATACAGAAATTGCGTTATATCTCTTGTCTATTAATACCGAAATATTTTGAAATTATTGCGAAAACAATGTTATTCTTTATTGTTATTTTTCTAACTTTCTGCGACATCCTCGCGGGGATGTGATTGCTGAAAACAATATACATAACTCATTTATTCCAATTTGGTAAGCGAGTTCCGTGTCACGATGCGGTCCTGCTCGGTTCGTTGGCAAAATCGATAACTACTTCTACCTCTCGAACCGAGACGAATTGTTCTGTTAGTTTGGAGTCACTGTCTGCAGTGTCTGCCATTGAGTGACTTGTCAACCGAACAAGTCTCTCGATAACTCCTCTTTCCTTTTTTTTTTACAATTTATAACTAATATATAAAACTGTATTAATGTACAACTATATACTTTAATTTATTTCACCATTTTACGTAAAATATCATGATTAATCAATGATTATATCAACGAAAACACAACCATCGCAATCAAACAATATTAATATAAATTGGATATTGATTATATCGGATAAACAAATATGTAACGACGTACCATTTGATAGTTATATTTGCTTATATTGGTCATAACGTTACGCAATGGTAACGCAATACTGGCAATTGCGTTAAAAACGATCGGTTCTTACAATTTCAATTATATTGATTATACATTGTCTAGTCGGTTATGTCGCAATCAACTGTAATAGAAATTAACGTAATATATCCTCTTTTCAGTCTAATTACTTTATCATATAAATTATAAGAGCAAATTGAAAATTACAGCTACGTAGATATAATTGAGTCAGAATGATTGATTCACACCGAATTTAAATACCGCATTTTCGATTGCTTTAATTAGATTCTGTACTTATTAAATTATATGCGTCGGATTACTTAATTGTTCACTGCAATTTTTAATAAATTAAAATTCTATTTTAACATCGTTATAGAAGTAATAATGAGCGAGCAGAAGCGAAGCAGCTTTTACATTATTAATTTCTTTTTGACTTTTATTAACGAACGAGATCGTGTATTATTTCATGCATAATATATATCGATTCTATCACCGCAAAATTAACTGCATAAGTTTAATCGTCCTTCTTTCGAGTTGGTTAATAGTGTCGAAAAGCGAAATATATAAACAATAAAAGATTATGTACATAATCAGCAGTAAACAACAACGTTATGTTATATTTTTATTATTTATTATAATTTATTATAATTTGTTATAGTAATACTGTTATATAATAAAATTTTGACAGCAAAATTATTATTATTATTATAAATATTACATGTCGCGTATTATGCCCATGCATAATTATACAAATATATCATGTTTGTTAATTGAAACCATTGTGATTACCTCAAAGCAACATGCACATAATTAAATCATTTGTACAGTCAATCTATGTTGAGTATCTCAAGTGGCTTAATTAATATTGGGAACATTTAAGCTAAAAAGGAATCGAATTTTATTATATATATGACAAATCAAGTATCTATTTAATTAATTCTATTCATTTATTTTGGCTAAAGAGGAATTTTCTTTCGTATATAGCAATTTAACATTATTTTTGAAATGCTAGTCGCAGACTGTAATAAATGGTATCTGAACTATTTTAAAAGAGTTGTCAACATCTATATACATACACGCAATAAATATCGATTGTTTTTACTCCATTCCGCTAAGTAAAGTAACAGTCTATTTTTCACGACATTCGTACAAACGAGTGGATTAAAGTGGAGTACGCTTTTGTACCAGCTTCGTCCATTCGTTGATAGTAGTACGGATGATTAAATTTTATTGCATATAGCGCCGCGAAATGATCGTACGAAGTTACGATATCGATATCCGCCAATATTAAGCGTCGCCGCGTCGGAAAATCGAAGGAAAGGGTGCGATGTAAATGGAGAAACCGAGAAACAGGAGAGAGGAACAAAGGGTGCACTTTATTCGAGTTTCCGTCGTGTCACAGAGACGAGATTGCGTTGCTTTAAAATTCGAGGAATCACATGCGAATTTCGCGCACTAAATTTTCAAGCACGATCACATATCTTCTATGAACGATATGTCGACGACGTTCTTTTCTTGTCGAATATGTTGAGAGAAAAAAAATTTGGTATGAAAAGGACGATTTTAGCGATTAGTAAGAGTCAGTTATCCACGAAATCTCCTATAAAACTCGCCCCGCACTCCGCTGACAAAGTATGCGAAACATTTCAAATCCGAGGTAGATCCGACGGAACATGACAATGTTCGCCTATTGCCGAGATCGAAAATCGATTGATCTAAATTCGCCGTAAAACGGCACGAGGAAGTGATTAAAGAAAAAGGAAAAAAAAGAGGATACGGCGCCTCTTAGTAAGCAGTTTCTCCATTCTCTCGTATAATCCACATATCGAAGGCGAGGAAAATGACCGTGTTAACGAGAATTCCCATAACGTAAATTCACCGAGCACGAGTCGCTCTCCTTCTATTTTCCTCCCAGGGAGTCGGCACGACACGATATCGCGAAGATGTTTTAGGACGACCGTAAATTACCGATGGTGGCGGGCGGCCAGACGTGGTAAGAGAAAGGGGAGCAGAAAGAAATATATATTTAAAGCACTGTCTCTCTCTCTCCCTCTCCCTCCACCCCCTCTCTCTCTCTCTCTCTCTTTCTCTGCTGACTGCGTTGTCCCGCCTCTCGCTAACCCTCCTCTCATCGCCTTCATTTTCATCCCTTTTGCGCGCACACTCGCATGCCGCTTTTTATTCTATGCTATTAAGGCGTCTCTATGGCCGCGACGAATTATCGTCGAATAAAGCGGCGCGATTAAGGCAACCTGGATGCGACGTAGAGCCAATCTTTCTAAATTCTCGGAAGATTTTGACTTAACAGCCCTCTCATTCTCCCTTCGGAAGAACCTTCTATGAGACGACGCGGAACTGACAGAGAGAACTAGATAAATCTTCATTCCAGATGTTCGCGGTCTTTCACCTCCTCCGACGTGCTAATTGCGAGATTACAAATAATATGTCGCGATTTCCTCGCGAGGAAAGTGAATTAATTTCCTCGACGCTTTAATCACGATAACGTTAATCTCTTACTTTGAATTCGTTATGTCTCTTACGCGCGTATTAGACGTAAAAGAAATTCTTTCACGGCTCTATTTTTCTTGACTCGTATAAACTTTAAGTAATAGCAAAAAATGTCAATGAGACAGAAATATCTAATGAAATGAATAAAAAAAATTTAGAAAAATAGGAATAGTAGGTGTAATAATTTTAAATTAATTACATCTTGAAAAAAATCGTATTTTTAATTACACTGATTTAATTGGTCAAAAAAATTATTTATTGCAACATATATAGTTGTATTTTCAATAGGATTATTATTAACCTTAGAATGCCTTTTTTCCCGCGACATTGTACAACGGAGCGCGCCTCTAATAAGAGTCACAAAATTACTCGGGTCGGAATTCCACACCGGAAAATGGAAGTAAGAAACACGTTCGCCCTCTCTTCAATAATAGAGCCGAGTGAAAGAATTATTGTATGAGAATATTCGCAAGAAAGTCGCCAGACAGTCTACGAGATATTCTCCTCGCAGACGAATGCGCGACATCGCGAATTGAAAATCGCGTGCCCATTGTTTCTTCTAAAACCACCGCCGACGACAACGATGTCTACGGAGGAAGTCGCGCGCGAGAAGTTTCGCAAACTGTTCCTCGTTTCGCAAAGAAATCATGACATTGAATTAAAACCAAATAATACCGGTGGTTTCTGCCAACGGGCGCACCACCGGCGACAAAACGCCGTGGTTATTTCGTAATTTTATCGATTTACGAGACAGCATCGGCAAGCAAGAAACGCGTCGAGTAAGAACAGAATGCAAAGTTTGCCGAGTAAATCACTTGGTTTCGTTCGTTCGTGAAGCATAGAAGATGCATATGAAGATGGAGGATAGGTAATTTAATTAACGTAAATTGAAAATCGGTTCTAACAAGCTTTTAGATCGCGAGATCGATTAAACTGATTGGCGCTTCGATAGTATAAAAAAATAACTGTGCGGTAAATACATACATGTAATTACTTCTGACATCTTTTATTATATAATTTATGGCCAACCCAATAAATGTAATGTCATCGAATAAATTTGCTTTTTTCATAATACACTTTTATAATACGCTTTTCACTGATTTAATTAAACATGAAAGCATTGAACGCATATGTTATATGTAGCATGTTATATAAACGTGATATATTCAAAGTGGAACAAATATGTGTGTATTATTTTGCTGTTTTCATAAGCTTGTACATCATTATTATGAAACTTTATAAATGACACTCGTATTTCATGTGATCGTACATTGTAACACGCTGTTTACATGCTCTAATATCGTAACATAATGTATTAAATATACAGCCATTATTTGCAGATTATAGGTACTTAAAACAATTATAAACCTAACGTGTTATAAAACGTAAAATCAATTTTATCTTTTTAAGTACATTCGATTTTGCAATCGTTCGCATAATAAATATCAACAGTGTATTAACTTGAGCTTTCGATGTTATAAAACTCTCGCATATAAATTAATTCGTACAAATTACCGCCATTTAATGATCTAATTTATAAAATTCTTGGCAAAATAATGTAAAAGCTGCCAGTACATTTTCTCTCGCTATTCCTCCCTGCTCAAAATGTTGGGTCGCACGTGTGACGTTTGCTAGAAACGTGAAATTACACGAGTAGACATCTGCCTTCTAACCCTTTGGCCGAGCGCCACCGAAATTTGGAACATAAAATAGTATGAGTGACGGTAAGTTTTCTGCGTTACCACAGCGAATTCACTCGCATAACGTACAGGCGATGCGCAAATTTTTCGGGGGAGAATCGTTTGTGTCGAATTGAAATGTCACGCAGAAAAGCGTCTCAAAAAGCAATAACAGCCCGTCGAATCGAATTTCAAACGTTTATACACAAAACGATAAATTTTTACCTGTTTGCAAAATGCGTGGAAAATCTCTAGGCTTCCCTTTTCTGTACACATCGAGAAATGCATTCTGCGTTTGTGGTAGAACAGTGACCAGCCCTTATGAATTTTACGCCCAATGAAAGACAAACGCAGCGAATATATTCCTCCAGCCGGTTTCAACGCAAACTTTTAATTAACGTACCGGCAACAAGTTTATTTTTCTTCAAATAGAGTAACCTATGTTGTCCAAAGAATAAAGCTTTCATGTATTGTATATTTGTACGCACGAATTCAATTTTTAAAAGTCGTAAAGATTACTGATTAATAGCGTTGTAAGTGCCTCCGCACAATGAAAAATATAAGGAACAAGGAACTGATATTAGCTATTAGAAATAAGTAAATCAGGAAATATAAAGCTGGTGTAACATTAATACACGGCTTCCGATAGGTTAAAAATCTAATATTGTCTGTGTTATTCCCTGTTTCCGTTGCCTGTATTTTTCATCGTGCATCCAACTTGATTCTTGATTTTTTAGTCCTAATCGCTAATATAAGTTACTTGTTCCTTATATTTTTTATTGTGCGGAGGCCAAATCGAATGAGACAGTCGAGTGAGATAGTCGATATCGATATATCGACATGTCGCGGCGAGCGACGATCGGTAGCCACGTAGCGAGAGTAGGAGAGTAGAGATTAATATGGCGGACATGAAGAGGACGGCTGTTATCGTAAGACGGTGCAATAAGGGTAAAGTTTTATATATACAGCAAACGTTGTCGTCGGTCAAAGTTTCCACAATAGAATGACACGGGATCAAAAAATGATTCCAATTAATTAACGTTATTGGATTTTATATTAGTATAATATTAGTTTCCACCGCAGTGGCTGCGGTGTTTCACGTCAGCTCCGTTTGAATAATACATTAATATTTTATGTTTAGGTAAATGTGTACCTTGGAACGTCGAGTCCTATTCGCCACATAATTTGTGCGGTAGTATTTGTGTGAGGGGCCACCGAGAGGCCGCGGCCGGAGGGCTTCCGAGATGAGCTATGAATCTGGGCTGTCTGGTAGCCTCTATCTTTGTTCTTCAGCTGCCATCGATGCTCGACGCGCTACCTTCGGTCGTCAAAATTGGTGAGTTTGTATCGACAGTTCACACTTCGCGTTGATAGGTTTATCTTAATAAATCGCTCTTCGCACGATGACTTAAACGTGACGACTCAATAAAGTGACGAAAATACATTTATTTCTCCGAAATCGAAATGTTCTTTTCGCAATATTTACTTTTAAACGAACTATAAATATAAAAATGGGCAATGTCTCGTCTAACATAAATATGTTTGTGTAAATTTATCAAAATCAAACAATATTTTTCACAGTAATATTACAAATGCGTTAAGTGATTAATGTCAGCCATATATGTAGAACATACATATGTTAGAAAATTCAACCAATGGCACTATATTCGAGTCGGCTTTCTTAAAATTTTGAAATTCCGAAACAAGATTTATTTTCTAAGAAGGAGATTGTAAGCCTGCTGTCTAAGTATCTACATGCTGGAAAATACATGCCATTAAAACTGAATTTAAATTTTACTGCTAAAATAAAGCTGAATTTTAATTTTAAATTATCTTGAATATACACGTGATATTTTTTTATCATTACAAAAAGAACAAACGTTTTGCTTACGTGTTTTGATTGCATTTTTAATTGCAAATAAAAAATTATTCGTTTACCGTTCGTATAAACGACATTTTATCAAAATTGTAATATTATTTCTTACTTATTTTATGATGGAATCAGTTTATATCAAGCGAGGAAAAGTTTGTCAAGCATGGGTCGAACTAGACGCGCCGGTTGATATCTTTTCCTGACACTTCCCGAAGCTTGTCCTTTTCCCCTTACAAGTTGCTTCCCCGAAAACTTTGGCGTATCTAAGAGCCGCTTCTCAAATCAAACTTTTCTAGAAGTTGTCCCTAGGCTACGTTTGTCAGCAATGTCTCTCCAGCAATAATTATTACACTCAAGGCACGCGTGGATCTTGAAATACTCTCTCGGCTTTAGTGATTTCATTTACTTTATTTGCGCTCCTTTCTTCATTTTCCTTCCTCGCTCCCGTTACTCAATCACAAAAAGACATTTCTATTATAGTATTATTTAGTGAAGAGAGAAATCATACACTGTAAACTTCGTAGTATCAAATTATACTCAATTTGAGTCATTTTAAACCATTCTTATAAATTGCCACTGCTCCCACTTAAAATATGTATGTCGTTAATTTAACTAGAATAATGTTAATTTAACTAAACCAATGGGGAGTTAAAATCCAATTACGATTTTATTAGAAGATTGTTATTGATTCTTTTTACATAGTAATATATTGTAATATATTTAACGTATATCTCTTGCATATTAATTTACACACAGACACACACACATGTAAAAATAAATTCATCAAATCTTATTTATTATACTTATATATATAGTTATACATATATCAATTTTTATAAGGGGAAATATTTAAATAGTTTTAAAATTAAACATATTTATTTTTTATTTTCAAATAGAATCACAGAGAAAAGTACATTGCACGATTTCTTTTCTGGTATATCTGGGTAATGTTATCGTGTTTATAGATAATTTACGAAATTCAATCGCGTAACGTAATATCGGATGCAGTAAGAGCTACTACTGTGAGCGGTACTTTCAGCGAGGCTTTCTTGTAACCATAGCGTTATAATAGAGATACGTCAGCTACTTAGCACATCAGATTACAGGCTCATAATGCTCGAACATCCGTTATCGTGTTACTAATGAGAGTCCATTGAGTTTACTCGACGGGAGTCTCTTGAGCTACTAGCATTTGGCTTATAACTTCGTTCGATATTTTTTATTACATGCAATACATGGTTCAAGATTTTTAGCGATATGTATTATTATAAAACACATAACTTGTTGAAACTTAACTGTTTATTTTATTAGATAGTTTATATGAAACGAGTAGTCAAAAATTTAACTCTTTGGGATTGTGTAAACTTAATCGAAACGATCAGTAATTATAATCTCTCTGCCGCAATTGTTTGTAATTTTGTCTGTTATTTATTACGTGAATACATTCAGTAGCAAATTTATACCATTTCAGCAATGAGGAAATTTAATACCTAAATTATAGTAATGTTAATAATCCGATGTAATTTGCCTGATTAAATTTTCCAAAAAATTTTTATCTTAATTATGCATTTAACGATTAATAATCATTTTAAATGACATCTATATCAACAGAGCGATATTGCAAAACGATTAATTAATTTTTGTGAACGTTTAATTAATTTTAGTCAAAGTAGAAGATAATAATTTTATTTTATTTAAAATATTTCTCAAATTGTATAAGAAAATATCTGATATTAAAAAAAAATTGACTAATTGAACGTATATCAATATATTATTTTTTAAGCAATGTAGACGTATTGCTGTGAAATAATTGCTAGATTTCCGGCTTAATCCTCGCGGATAGCGAGCACTGATGAATTTCGTTAGTACAGTTGCTGTTAATTAATGCGTCTGGTGTAAGCGGTTGCAACTGGACAGTTGAATTCCCTGTTAAATATGAACGGCCGGTGCAAATTATTGATATCATTGTAGAGACAGTACGTGCATGAAATTTAAGAGAGAATATTGCAATATAGAGAGATTATAACTACTGATAATCATCTGACAGAAAAAAATAGATGTTGCTTTCAATAACTAAATTAAATATTTATTGTACTGATTACATTTCGCTCGTTAATTTTACTACTCAATTTTATTCGTGGCAAATAAGTTCGCGAAAGTTTTTCAATTTCTTTCGAAAATGTTGACTCTCGCGATAATCCGATTGTAGGAAGAATGTTAGCGTAAGAAGACAAGCGGAATTCCGGTAATGGTTTCGCCGTACCTCCTGCTCCCGCGATAAAACGGTTAAATTCTCTCTCGAGTAAGCCGACAGGCCCGAGGAATTTACGCAGACAACACGTACATAACCACGTTGGGCGGTGTATCGTCCTGAAACGCGATATTTGTCTCGCGTCGTAACCTCTTGTTCCGCCTTTTCATTGAAATTGGATTTCTCGCCGTGAATGCCCTCGAGACACCCGCGCGCACCTTGTAACACGTACGACGTTTAGATAGCGACAGATACAAAGATAAAGAGATCACACAGAGATATAATGTGCCAAGTAATAAGACGGAGGTGAGATAATTTATATCCGTCCATTCTAATTCTAATCCAAACGACACCTCTTTCTTATCGTTACAATTGGGAGAATCCCAATATTGTTTTTCAACAACATTATCTCAACAAATAAGATTTCTAATTACAGAAACAATTATATATATATATATTATGCAACACGTGCATGGAAAGTGCTCCATTACGCACGCTACGCGTGCGTGATAGACCACTTTCCAGGCACTTGCAACATAAAATAGGGAGTGTAAGCCGTGTGTAAAGATGAAAATTCCCGGGTGCGGAGTTTACGAACGAGCCGAAGACGAGTGCGGTAACCGCACCCGGGAATTTTCATCTTACCTCACTTGTTACACAAATAACTATATATATATATATATATAAACATGCAGGAAAATACACTGGTGGTGGACGAAGTTTTCTTACCAAATGACACGATATGTTTCCGTGTGTTTGAGATAAGAAAAGTAAAATTTTATTTTAAAATCTAAGATTTAATTCTTATTTAATTTGGAGTGAACTTTGTTTTAACGGTTTTATAATTTATGGGTGAATTATAAAAGTATTTAATATTAAGGATTAAAAATTAGCAACAAATATTTTTTTTCTCGACATATCCGATTAGGGAAAAGTTGATCCGTGGATTCGTGGAGCCACATGTGAGAGATGATTCATCAAGATCGGGACACTTTATATGACAACGTGTATCGTAAATGAATATGAGATAATATTATTTTCTCCCTCTTATTTTCCCATAGAGCTCTTAAGTAATAAATGACGCAGACGGTAATTAATTGTCAACGGAGAGTTTTTTAGATCATGCTTTGCTGCCCTGCCTAATCAACGTCTGTTAATTTGATGGATAAATAAGGGTAGGGAATCTTGTTGAAAGGTTTATCACGATAAATCGTTCTGGCGGACGTCCTTTGCTCTTCAGCACATCTAGTTGATAAAGGACACCGCCACCGTCTAAATGATGCTTGAATAAATCGGTTTCGCTGATTAATTAACGTCGCGCAAATAGTTCGCAATTTGTCCGTGATAACACAAATGCATATTAAATATTGTTTACAAAATGGATTACACTCACTTCTCCTTTTGCGTGGCTTTTTGTGCGTTTTTTTTTTACGCGGTTTTTCTAAGTAACACTTTCTTGATAAATTCTTGTAATCTCTCTTGTACCTGTATAAACCTGAATTTTAATTCCTAATAATGATTTAACGAAAATTTTTTAATCGAACACATATCACCCTATATTATCAAAAAAGCGAGTAATACTTGGTACTGTCTAAATCTGAATCAGTGAATAGTCACTGATTCAGCTTTAGAGAGTAGCGAGTAATATTTTAAAAAACCAACAAAATATCGGTATGCAGTTTACTGTAGGGAAAAGTATACAAAGTTCATACAATATTATTATTAGATTACTAAAAAAAGATTGAGCTCCTAGACCGTAAATAGCATTTTCTCTATAATTGATTATATTTTAATGTTGTTTCAATTTCAATGTTTGTTATTTTAATGTAGTTAAAATAGAGTTTTAGTTCATCTGTCGTGACATATGTATACATATATATAACTTTTCGTTTAATTTCGACAGTACATTCATCGTAGTTGTTAATTTTAGAAAATAGATTATTAACAGTGTAATTTTGAGCTATTTGTTTTGACCTATCTCGATTTGTACGAGAAATGGTTGTACAAAATATTTACTCTACAATTTTATGTATAAGTATATAACCCATAAAATGTATAACGCACGTAATTGACATTGGAAAAATATTGGAAAATTCACCGTTATTTTAAACAACAGACGAATTATTTCAACATCATAAAAGCACTTTGCAAATTTGGATAAAATATCGATAGTCGTGTTTGATGTATTTTCTATTTAATTATGGGCATTGAG